CCCTTCCACAAACAACTCACCACCACGGAAAATCTTTTAAACAGATAAATCTAACCATGTCACCTCCCCTTTTTAAAATTCTTTAGCGCTTTCCCAGTGAACCCAGAGTAGAAAGTCTTCATAGTGACCTACCAGACATGTGCCTACGTCCCCCATCTCACAATGAACAACTTTCTCTGACTTTCCCGTTTCTAAAGTACACCCAGCTCTCCCTGCCACTTCACACCCCCAGCTCCCGCCCCCCCGCCCCCCCCCACACACACACACACACACTTCAGGGGCTCTGCATTTGCTATCTCTCTCTCTCTCTGGAAAGTTCTCTCTTCAGCAGTTGCCAAGACCGTTTCTATCGCATCCTTGACATGAGATCCTACCTCTAGGAGGCCTCCCCTGGAGAGGTAGCTTCCTTGAGGTGCCTCAAATTTGAGAAGGTATATAAAAATCCCCAGAAGGGCTTTCACAGCAGATTCCCGGCCCCGCTATCCTCCTCCCCAGTTTGACGGCGTCTAGGATGGGGCCCAAGACTCTGCAATTCTAATGAGCTCCCAGGTGATGCCCACACTGCCAGTGGACCACACTCTTGAGAAGCATTGTGCTTTGGCAACATGTAATTATGGTATCTTGTGTATCTGTTTGCAGCCTGTCTATTTGGCTAATGAGAAAAGGGAACTTGTCTGCATTATTCCATACTATGCACCCAGCATTTAGAAAGTGCCTATGGGAAGAACAATGCTGGTCTCTCTGGGATACATCTCCTATTTGTGGGGCAATCTCTTCAATGAAGAATTTCTCTGACCTCAGCAGGTGACTTTTCTTTGTACAACATGATCTGGATTTCCACAGTGGAGGAGAATGTCTAGGCTTGGGTCCCCCTTTTACACTTAAACCTACACATCCAAATTCATCCCTTTCTATACACAAAAGTCTCATTTCCTCCCCCGGGTATTTACTCAAAGAGAAACCCAGAGCCTGGCCACCTTAGGCCTCCTTGGTCCTTTCCTGATCAACTGAGAGCTACTGTGATTTTTTTTTAAAAAAAATAAATTTGTATTGATTTCAGAGAGAAGGGAGAGGGAGCGAGAGGCAGAAACATCAAGGATGAGAGAGAATCACTGATGGGCTGCCTCCTGCTCGTCCACCACCAGCGATCGAGTCCACAACCCGGGCAGGGCCCTCATCGGGAATCCAACCGTGACCTCCTGGAGCCTGACCTCCTGGTTCATAAGGCCCGCGCTCAACCACTGCGCCACACCGGCCGGGCGCTAATGTGCTTTTTTTAACAGACGGAAAGGAAGCTCGGCTCACCTGAGGCCCAGTTGTTTGGCGCATGGCTGGTGTCCCTGGCTTCGGGCACTGTCTTCTGGGTGTGGAAAAGCAAGAACCTTAGAAGCTAAGAGAAGACGAGCGGTGAGTGCGGGAGCTCAGGTCTGCACCCCCCGCAGCAGCACGGGCAGGAGGCTCTCCAGGCCCTGCGGCTGGTCGCCCCCATCTCCTCGGGAAGTGCTCGCCTGGACCTCAGCCAGGCCCGCCCTGCCCGCCCAGTCCCAGGGCTGCTGAGATCCGCCCCTAGAGTCACCTAAAACCCTAAAGCAGCTCTTACAGGGACCATGGCATGGACCCACAAACGGTGCCTGTGGAAAGGCGGGACAGGGTGCTTGGCTGCGGATAAAGAGTAAAACAGAGTTCTAGGGGGTGATGCTGGCCGAGACCCCGAACACAGAAACGTCAGGGAAGCAGGGGACCCCAACACGGACACTCAGCAGCGGGCGCCGGGGGCTGTTGGGGTGGAAAAGAGGGTCGCGCTGCGGTGGGCAGGGGCTGGCCCGGGCTCCGGAGGCCGCGCAGCCCCCTCGGCGGCGTCTGCGAGCCCCGGACCCGGGTCAGGGGGGCGCGAGCCACCAACGGGACCGAGCTCGGGGCGCCAGGGAAAGTGAGGAGGCCGGCACCGGGCGGACCTGGCACGGAGAACTCGCTGGGACGCACACGCCTCCTCGCCGAACACGAAAAGCTGGCGGCTAAACGCCGACGCGGAAGCGAGCGCGCGCGCCCAGCGCCCCTCTAGGCCGCCGGAGGCCGCCCGTCTCGGTGGTCCCGGCGCCCGCCCCCACGTGACTGGGCCGGCCGCGGAAGGGGTGGGGCTGGGAGCGGGTCCCTGCCCGCGCCGCCTGTCGCTGGTGGGGTTCGGGGGGTCCCCTGCCAGCTGCGACCCTTGTTGCAGGCTTGGGACTGGGGTGTCCAGGCTCGGATACAGCCTCGCTGCGCTCAGACCTCGGCCTCTAGGCGCAGTGGGGCCGCGGGTGACGGACTGCCCCACCGGCTGTTGGCCGCCGTTACTCCGTGGGTCACCTGGGCTGTGCAGGTGTGGAGGGAATGGCTCCTGTTTGTCATCTCTTAGGGGCCTAAGCCAAGGATCCTGCTTGGGGTTCCTAAACCATGGTTTCCACCTGCCTTTTTATTTTTAAATTTAACTTTATTGATGAAAGTATTACAATGTCACCCTTTTTTCCCCATTAACCCCCTCCACCCCACACCTCCTCCCAGGCCTTCACCACACTATTGTCTGTGTCCATGGGTTATGCATGTAAGTTCTTTGCTTAATCTCTACCCACTTACCCACCCATCTTCCCTCTGAAAGTTGTCAGTCTGTCCTATGCTTCTATGTCTCTGTTTCCACCTGCCCCCTCCTTCCTAGGACCTAGGCCTGTGGGGGACCTTTGGAACAGATTCATTTAACAACCAAAATGATGGTGACTAAGGTTGCCAGGCATCCTGTGTGTACAGGACATGCCCTATATTAAATGGCTTAGTCCTGTTCTTTCCCAGAACAGCTTCACCAGAGGGACAGAGTGCAGGAAGCACTGACCCAGAGGCAGCTACATGGCAAGGTGAATCAGGAGAGATGGCAAACGTTAGTCTTTGCAGCTGTCAAGGAATCTACTCATGGATCAACAGAAAAACACACTATCCCCAGCCACTAGCCCATGCAATAAGTCAAGAAAAAGAAAATGCATCCAAAATTGGAAAAGACGTAAAAGGCTTTGTCAATGTTACAAAAGCCTATGGAATCTACAAATGTCTCTAGAACTAATAAGTGAGTTGTGCAAAGTTGCAGGCTAAAAGATCAAAATACAAAAATTAATTATATTTCTGTATACCATCAATGAAAATTAGGAATTTACTATTTATTAGAGCATCAAAAATATGAAATATTTAGACATAAATCTGAGAAAACATATAAAAGACCTAAACAGTAAAAGAAATTAAGATCTAAATAAATGAATAAAACACTGCTAAAAGAAATTAAGATCTAAATAAATGAATACATTTACAATGTTCACAAGTCAAAAGACTATCTAAATAGTTACAATGTCAGTTATTCCAAAACTGATCTATAGATTCAATACAAAATCCTAGAATTTGTTTTGTAGAAATAGACAAAATGATTCTAAAAATCACATGGAAATGCAAAGGACCTAGAATGGCCTAAACAACTTTGTCAAAAACCAAAGTAGGATGACTGACACTACATGGCTTTAATTAAGGCAGTATGTTAATGGCATCAAAATAAATAGATCAGTGCAACAAAACAGAATCTAGTGCTGGGCCCACACAGACAGGGACAACTGATTTGTGACAATGGTGCAAAGGCAATTCAGAAGAGAAGGAACCATGCTTTCAAAAAAATGGTGCTACAATAGGTGATCCATTTAAAAAGGGAAGGGGGGAGGAACTTAGGTCCATACCTCACACCTTGTACAAAATTTAATTCAAAATAGATGATAGATCTAAATGTAAAATTTTAAACTATAAAAACAGGAAGGAAAAATAGAAAAAAGCCTTTATAAACTTGGGTAAGGCAAATATTTCTTACATATGACACTGAAAGCACAATCCATAAAAGAACTGAAAAACTGGACCTCATCAATATTGAAATCTGCTCTTCAAAAGCTACTGTTAAGAGAATGAAAAGACAAACCACAAGCAGGGAGAAAATATTTGGAAATCACATCTATGAAAGAGGACTTGTGTCAATAGTATATAAAGACCTCTCACATATCAATAAAAAGAAAACCCAATTAAAACAAAGGCAGAAAATATGAACTTTACCAAAGAAGACATATGGAAGGTAAGTAAGCACATGATAATATGCACAATAGCATTAGTCATTAGGGAAATGCAAATTAAAACCTCAATAAGATAGCGTTATACACCTATCAAAATAGTTAAAATTAAAATGAAATATCAAGTGTAGGCAAAGATGTATTAGGAGTGGAACTCTCATACAATGGTGGGAATGTAAATGCCACAACTCTGTAGAACAATTCTGAAGATTCTTAAAAACCTAAATATACCTATCTATGACCTGGCTATTCCACTCCTGGCATTTACCAGGATAAATAAAAGCATATACATTTACAAACACTTGAACACAAATGTTCACGGAAGTTTTATATGTAACAACCAGAAACTAGAAACAACCCAAATGGCCATCAAGAGGTGGATGGACAAACTGTGATATATCCATAGTGCAATACTACTCAGAAATAAAAAGGAATGAACCACTGATGTATGCAACATGGGTGAACCGCAAAATAATTATTCCACGTGAAAGACACTGGACCAGAGAAAAGTACCTAGTGTGACAACATTCGTATAAAATCCTAGAAAAGGAAAATGAAGGCAAAGTGACAGAAAGCACATCAGTGGTTACCTGTGGGGAGCCAGGAGAGAGAATTACAGGGGCATAAGCAAAATTTGGGGGGTTTGGCCGTTTATTAGCTTGTGGTGATTGTTTCATTGGTGTATACGTAAGTCAAAACATATCAATCACATTCCAATAAATAGCATTTTTGTTTATTATGCTCCAGTCACTGTGCTAAGCACTTCTACATGTATTAATGCAGCTAATCCTCAACACAGAACTATGAGGTAGATTGTCATCCCTATTTTACAGATAAAGAAATTAGCATCGAGTTTCTATAACTTAACCCTCTGCTTCCTGCAGTGGGCCGTCAAGCTGTCTGCAAAAGTGGTAGCTAATTCCTTGAGTGGAAAAAAAAAAACAACTAGATGAAGTTGCTAAGAAATGTTCCCGGCTGTGAGGTCACTTGGAACAGCAATGAGATGGATAAATTTAAGACAGATAGCATCTTGCATCTGATTCAGAGTACACACACCCCAACTTTTGCAAAGGCACAGACAGCAATTGAGTGGTCAAGAGTAACTTCAGAGTAATAAGTAGTGTGGGTGGGCTGCACCCGAGGTAGGTCTCTGAAAGCTTGAACTCTCTTAGAATGTCCTAGATGCAGATGGCTCCAATGGACAAGGCCCCTCTGTTGGTGAGTTTGGGAGACTTCTAATATTCATATTGTAATAGGTGTCCATATATCTTTATCTTTCTGGTTTACCCCTTGTTTAATGTTGCACATCTGAAGAGAGATACATGGGACATGTAAGTTTTAAGATTTAAAGGGTCTGAAATGTCTTTAATTCTGGACGAAATGATTTTCCCTTAGAATTTTGAAGGCATGCACCGTAGTCACCTAACTTTCAAGGTTACTACTGAGAAATGGGATGCCATTTTTTTTTTATCCCTGATCTTTTGTTTTCTCTCTCTAGATACTTTTTAGGATCTCCTCTTCAAACCTGGTATTCTAATCCATTTTGCTGGGCACTTAGTATAGCCTTCCAGTCTAGAAACTTACATTCCTTTCATGTTTGTAAGTTTTGAGGTTTGTTCTTTTGTCTTTTCTAACTGTAAAGAAAGTTCATGTTGGGGAAACAAGGGCTCAGAGAATTTGGGGAAGCCAAGAGTCTGAATTAAACATCTTACTGGGACAGGAGAGAAGTGGGCATTCCAGTTACGCAGAGCTGTAGGAACAGAGGCATACAGTTAAGAATTAGCACAGTACAGTACAGCCCTGGCCAGGTGGCTCAGTTGGTTGGAACATGGTCCCATACACCAAAGGTCGTGGGTTCAATTCCCAGTCAGGGCACATAACTAGGTTGTGGGTTAAATCCCAGTTGGGGCACATATGGAAGGCAACCGATCACTGTTTCTCTCACATCGCTGTTTCTCTTTCTCTCTCACTCTCACTCTCAAATCAATACACATATCCTTGGGTGAGGATTTTTTTTAAAAAAGAATGAGCACAGTCCAGGAAGAACAGTGATGACACTGACAAAAAACATGAAGACGGGGAGACACCAGGAGAGGCAGTGAGCCCAGCTGTGGCTAGTCCTCCTCTTGGACAGATGCCTTCTGCGTGTGGAGTTTCTTATGTAGAAAGAATCTTCCACACCAGCTAAAGGTTTTCCCACACACCTTACACTCGTAAGGTCTCTCACCAGAGTGCACTCGCTCGTGCTGAACCAGGGTGAATTTCTGAACGAATGCCTTCCCACACTCCTTACATTCAAAAGGTTTCTCCCCGGTGTGAATGCGCTGATGCTGAGTCAAGGCTGTGTTGGAGCTCAACTGCTTCCCACACTCTTCACACTCATAGAGTCTCTTCCCCATGTGGAACCTCTGGCGCTGGAGGAAGACGGAGTTGCTACTGAAGGCCTTGCCGCTCTCCTTACACTCATAGGGCTTCTCTCCAGTGTGGATTCTCTGGTGCTGAATCGAGGCTGTGTCTGAACTTACGCCTTTCCCATACTCTTTACATTTAAATCGTTTCTTTCCAGTGTGAACTACCTGATGCCGAGTTAGTAGTGAGTTATATGAGTTGCATCTGCAGTCTTTCCCACATTCTTTGCATTCAAAAGACTTTTCGCCAGTGTGACATCTCTGATGTCGGTGGAAGTCGGCCATTCGACTGAAGTATCTGTCACATTTTCTACATTCATAAGGTGTCTGACCACCAGGAACTGGCTGATTCGCAGTGAGTTGTGTGTTGACGCTAATGTTTTTTGTTAATTTCTCACACTTCTCCCCACTCTCAGTAGCCTGGGCCTCATGATACTGGAATGACCCATCAGTGAAATTTCTCCTCTCTGACTCTGCCTTCGTAACTAGCCAGTGGCTGTGCTGCTGCCCTGGGCTGCTCCCAAGATCAAGGTCCTGGGGAACATTCCCTGGCAGCCCTGCCGGTGTCAGTCTGCGGGACTCTGGTTCTTTGGCAACGTGTTCCTTTGGAGCGGATTTTTCCTTCTCAATTCTGGTCTCACCCCCTGGTATCACAAAAAGAAAACACAGCCGTCAGCCCCCGATGTTGCAAACAGAAGACTTGTGCTGCAGGGAAAACAGGAGCAGGTGGATCTAAATTGCTGAGCGTGTGGATATTTTCCAGTCTGTGCAGAAAAGGGCACCAAAGATCACCACGCAGCAGAGCCCCCCTAGGATGAAGACTCCGGGGGGGAGAGGCAGGTGAGGCCAGGCAGCATTCCCATAAAGAGCATCAAGACGGGGAGACAGAAAAGACTGTTAACTAGGGCAAAAGACCAAGAGCTTTCCCCCAAGTGACTGGGATGGATAAAAGGGCAGACAGAGCGAAGCGATGAACAGAGACCCTCAGTGAGAAAAAGACCGCCGAGACGGGAGAAGAAGGGGGAGAGTCCTGGAATCATCCCGCACTCATTGGAGGACAGGGACACAAAGGGGCTCTGCTGAGCTCCCAAGAAACCTTCATTTCCCACCGTGCGTAAAGCAGAGCCCCTCCCAGGGCTGGAGGGACAGCCGACTTCAAAACCTGGGAACCCAGGGCTCTCCCCACCCAGTAGCTTCTGAGAGCTCAGCCTTTAGAGCAACTGCCCATGAGGGTGTTAGAGACCCACAAAGTCTAAGGAAGGAGAGACAGGATGCTCAAAGGTAGAGGCAGACATACAGGAGAGAATGTCTTACCCACAAAGCCACATTTG